TTTTGAAACTAAAATTGTAAAGATAAGACCTAGACTAATACATCAACAGAAAAAAATTCAGAAATCAACAAAACACACATATATATGAAAAATTGGTATATGACAAGGAGCATTCCAAATCAGTGGAGAAAGAACGGACTATTGAACTCCTGGTGCCAGAGTAACTGACTATTGGCAAGAAAAAAAAGAAAAAAAGAAGGGGGGGGGGGGGGGGAGAAGAGAGAAAAAGAAAAAAGAAAGGAAAGGGGAAAAAAAAATCCTATAATAAATAACCTCTAAGATGGACCTAAACATATTTCTACATTTTGGGAGGTGATAATATTAACACTAAGAAGCTATAAAGTTAAAAATATATAATGTAGACTGTAGAGCAAGCACACACACGAAAGAAAAATATTTCATAAAGAAATACATAGAAATGTTATTCTAAAATAACAAAATCATTCTTCCAGTTTCCAGTTTCCATGTAGGGAGCTTGGAAGTGATCACTTAGTCCTAACACCAAGGAAAAAGCTCAACAAACTGAAAAGTTAACATCCACAAGAAAAGTAAGGTCACACTGCAAAATGCTGCCCGCAAAATTGGAGAGACTGCAGGCAGATACAGAGAATTACAACTTAACAGAGCACAGACTCACAAGCTGAAACCTCGGAGGGAATGAGAGCCAGGAGAGGAAAGCCTGCACTGTAACTGATAAAGAGCAGGAGGCTCAGTGTGGAAGTTAAGAATTACAGAGGTATCAGTCTTAAGGGGGCCCCACACTTTTTTGAGTTTTACCTCCAGGAGCTTGACTAGGTTCTCACAGTAAATAGCAGAGAACAATCCCCTTGTACTTCCAAGTAGAGGGAGGGGAAAAGGAACCATTTTGAAATAAGCCAGAGCACTGGTTGCCCTCAGGGCAAACTAGTTAAGCAGAGCCTAACCTGCTGGGGCATTATGAGAGCCTTACTCACCTGGGGAAGGAAAACACCCAACTCCACGTGGCTCTAGAATTCCACATGGAGGAAGGAGAAAAACCCAACTCCAGCACACTCTAACCATCCTGCCCCACCAAGGGGGAGGGGGAAAATTGAGAAACACTTGGTAAGTTCACAGTCCACAGGCATAGGCTCATTGGAAGGAAACCGAGTCAAAGGACTATAGAACACTTCCCTTCCCCACACAACTCACCACTACATTACAAAAGGCCTATTTACAGCAATTCCGTTTACCTGGTACATCATGTCCGGCTAACAAGAAAAAATTACAAGACATACCAAGAGGCAAAAGACACAAATTGGGGCTTCCCTGGTGGCGCAGTGGTTGAGAGTCCACCTGCCAATGCAGGGGACACAGGTTCGTGCCCCGGTCCGGGAAGACCCCACATGCCACAGCGCAGCTAGGCCCATGAGCCATGGCCACTGAGCCTACATGTCTGGAGCCTGTGCTCCGCAACGGGAGAGGCCACAACAGTGAGAGTCCCGCGTACTGCAAAAAAAAAAAAAAAAAAAAAAAAAAGAATTACATCCGACTTCTCCTCAGAAACCATGCAAACAGGAGAGTGGAGTGAAATACTGAAAGCATTGAGAGAAAAAAAACACCAACCTAGAATTCTGCACCCTGTAAAATTATCCTTCAAAAGTGAAGGACAAATAAAGATTTTACTAGACAAACAAAATTGAATCTGTTGCCAGTAGACCTGCTCTGCAAGAAACGTTAAATGTTCTCTAGAGAGAAGAAAAGTATGAGTCAGAAACTCATGTACATAAAGAAAGGTAGAGCATCAAATAAGATATGAGTGAAGGTAAATTTTTTAATTTATTTTTCTTATTTTTAATTATTCAAACAGATAACAATTATTCAAAATAATAGCAACAATGTATTTGATTATGTATGTATATATCGAGTGTGTGGTGTGTGTATGTGTGTGTGTGGTAATTATGCTTATAAGTGAAGTGAATGACAACAATGATACAAAGGACAGGAGGAAGGAATTTGGGCTATTTTGTTATTATAAGATACTCTCATTACCTATGAAGGGGTACAGTATTATTTGAAAGTGGACTTGGATTAGTTGTAAAGATGCACTGTAAAAACTAAGGCAACCACTAAAAAAAGTAAAAAAAAAAAAAGTATAACTGATATGTTAAGAAAGAAGAGAAAATGGAACCACATATAACATTCAGTAAAAACCACAAAAGGCAGAAAAAGAGTGGAAGACAAAAATAAGAACAAAGGCAACAAAGAGAAAACAATAATGAATATGGTAGAAATTAATCCAACTATATCAATAATCACTTTGAATGTCAATGGTCTAAAAACAACAATTAAAAGACTGTCAGAGTTGATCTCAAAACATAACCCAACTATATGTCATCTACAAAAAACCCACTTTAAACATATAGACACATAGAGATTAAAATAAGTAAGCATATGAAAAAATGCTCCACAAAATACATATATCATTGAGGAAATACAAACTAAAACAACAATGAGATACCACCACACATGTATTAAAATGGCCAAAATTCAGAACACTGATAACACTAAATGCTGGTGAAGATGTAGAGCAACAGGAATTCTCATTCATTGCTAGTGGGGTTACAAAATGACCCAGACACTTTGGAAGACAGTTGGCAGTTTCTTACAAAATTAAATATACTCTTACCAGATGATCATACCCAATCATACCCCTTAGTAATTATCTAAAGGAGTTGAAAATTTATGCCTACACAAAAACCCACAAACGGAGGTTTATAGCAGCTTTATCCATAATTACCAAAACTTGGAAGCAACCAAGATGTCTGTCAGTAGGTCAATGGATAAGTAAACTGTGGTACATCTAGACCATGGAATATTATTCAGTTCTAAAAAGAAACAACCTATCAAGCCATGAAAAGACATGGAAGAAGCTTAAATACATATTACTAAGTAAAAGAGGCCATCTGAAAACCAACATACTGTATGACTCCAACTATATGACATTCTAGAAAAGATAAAACTATGGAGGGCTTCCCTGGTGGCGCAGTGGTTGAGAGTCCACCTGCCGATGCAGGGGATGCGGGTTCGTGCCCCGGTCCGGGAAGATCCCACATGCCGCAGAGCAGCTAGGCCCGTGAGCCATGGCCGCTGAGCCTGCGCGTCCGGAGCCTATGCTCCGCAATGGGAGAGGCCACAACAGTGAGAGGCCCGCGTACCACAAAAAAAAAAAAAAAAAAAGCATTTTAGGACAATATGGACAAGATGGTAATCAGGAATGACTGCTAATTTTCTTATGTGTGATAATAGTGTTGTAATTATGTAGGAAAGTACCCTTATTTTAGAATATGCATTCTAAAGTATTTAGGAGTAAGATGTCATGACGTCTACAATGTACTTCTATATGGTTCGTACACACACACAATACCACACATACATAGACATATAATCACATACAAATAAAGTAAAAATGGTAAAATGTTAACAACTGTTGACTCTAGGTGATCGTTACACAGGTGTTCAACATTTTCTGCTGAAAAGTAGGCAAATAACTTCAAAAATGCCACCTTATTAAAGTGCTAAAAAATAAATTGAAGCAAACTTCATTTAAAGCATCTTTAAAGTTTCATATATGAGTACATACTTTGAAATCACATTTCCAAAACCAATATTTAGATTTTTAAGTTGATCAGAAAGTTACAATCACCAGAACAAGGCTCTCATTACTTATGGGCAAAAAACCAATAAAAATACTTAACACACTTACCATGTGTCAGGCACTCTTCTAAGCACACTTACATAAGTAACTCACTTAATTCTCTGAATAACCATGTGAGTAGATTATCACTACCTCCATTTTTCAGGTAAGGAATAAGCCATAGACGTCACACAATAAGTGGCAGAGCCGGTCTCCCAAGCCAGATTTTATAGCTCCAGAATCCACACTTTTAACAACTATTCTGTACTGTCCTCTCAGGTGGGGAACCTATGTTTCTAGCAATACTGACTTGATTTTCCTGGGGTTGTAACATCCTTTGATTTTAGTAATTTTAATAATCTAAAAGTATCATCAAACAGAGAATCACAAAAATTTAGATACTATTACATTTACAAAAATGCATTAAAATGGCTTCAGGTGGTTTAAGTAAATATTTAGTCACCTAACAACATCTATCTATAGTCTTACTAGGGGATCGATGATTATAACAAACATCTTCATAAACTGAAAGATGATCCCATCTTGATTAATATACCTGACCGTATCTTAATTCTCTGGGATAAAGATGGAATCAAAGCAGTTCTCAACAATAAAAATAATTATTCCTGAAATGGCAAATATTCTTTTATGCAAAATGTTTAACTTCAACAGTTTACCTGACTGAAAAACTTACATAACAGTTTGTAGCATTTTGTAGAAATCTTATTATTCCACGTGGAACATTTTCAAGTTGATAAAAATGAAAATTTTTTTAAATGAGAAGAAATCCAAAAAAAAATAATTGATTTAATAGAGGTTAATGAGCCCGAAGCAAATTACAGATTTAAATGATAAAAGAAAACTGTTTATTTTCTTAGGTGTGATAATGGTATTGCAGTTATGGAAAAGATCTTTAATTAGGATTTATGCAAGCCATGTTTTAGTTTGACACATCAGAGAACCCTTCAATTTTTTAGTAAACAAAGACTAATGGGCATTTTTACTATATAATGTCAATCTTTATTTTTTATAGGCTTAAAAACCTAAATAATATAAGTATAAAGTTAAATTGTCCATCAAATATTGGGTTGGCCAAAAAGTTCGTTCAGTTTTAAGTAAAAATAAAAGACACAGTTTTCATTTTCACCAAGAACTGTATTGAACAACATATTCCCTAACCAAACAAACTCTTTGGCCAGCCCAATATTTGCAAGACTGAAAAATATATGTAGAAATATTTCTCCTCCCTGGACCATGATAAACAGTAAGCAAAAAAAAAACACTCTAGTTGTGATGGTGGACAGTAAATCAGTTGTATTAAATATGTAGGTATGTAAAAGTTTACCTGCTTTTTCTCTCAATTAGAATGGCCACATAAGAAGCTGGCAAAGCGGCACCAAACCCAGGACTCCATGAGTAGAATTTTCCAAGTATTTTCCTGAAATTGAAATTTGGAATGATTATATGAAATTTCTAGTTGGTCATTTCAGTTATTACACTAGAAGTTCCCCTTCTCAGTTCACCCTCTATCTAAATGTCCCACAGCACCTCAAATTCAGCATGTCCAAAACCAAACTCATTATCTTAGTCCCTTATCTCCATGAACCTGTTCTTTCTCCTCTCTTTTCCTAGGTTAATGATATCAACAACCACTTATCCACCTATGTGTGACACTTTGAGACATCCTTGGCTTCACCTTCTTCCGTGTCCCACACATGAAATCATCCCCTTAAATACTTCCATGTACAATTTATCTCTCAAATTCCTCTCCAACCTACTGCCCTTGCCTCATTTATGTCCCTCATCAACTCTTCTTCAGGCTACTACAATAGCAAACTAATAGGTATCTCTCCTTCCAATAATTTAACCTGTTATATTCATTCAGACAGTCCCTGGATCCAACATTGTTCACTCTGCAAACCTTCTATGTTCTCAATTTCCTATCTACCAAATGGGAATAAATGTATTACCTATCTCATAGAGTTGTTATGATGGCTACATGAGATACTTCCCAGCACCATCCATGACACATAGGAAGTACTCAGAAAATGTTAGCTATTATTACTATTGTTATCACTACTACTATTCTTTCATTATGGCTCTTTTTTTATGGAAGTATAGTTGATTTACAATGTGTTAGTTTCAGGTATATAGCAAAGAGATTCAGTTATATATTTTTTTTCTTTTTTTTTCTTTTCAGATTCTTTTCCCTTATAGGCTATTACAAAATATTGAGTATAGTTCGCTGTGCTGCACAGTAGGTCCTTGTTTGTTATCCATTTTATATATAGTAGTGTGTGTATGTTAATTCAAACTCCTAATTTACCCCCCGCCCTTCCCCTTTGGTAACCATAAATTTGTTTTCTATGTCTGTGGGTCTATTTCTGTTTTGTATATAGGTTCATTTGTATCATTTTTTTTCAACTATTACTATTTTTTAACACATGATAGATATTCAAAAAATGTCTCTCCTTTCCTTCTACAACCCTGGGTAAGTTTTTTCTTACACCGCTTACTAAAGTATTTTACATTTTTTACTTATATGTGTATATAAAATTTTTCATTTACTAGAATATATCCCTTGGGAGAAAGAATCTGCATAGTATCTCACAAATTATAAATGCCATTGGGTTGGGTTTTTAAAGAGAAAAAAAAAGAAATCTGGAGATATTAGGAAGACTCTTTTTCCTTTCAAAGACAATTTGTTCCTAAGAAAGGGAGAAACAAAAAATTATAAAAAATTATCTGAACAAAGTTGGTCAACTGCTAAATGATGTATTACAGGAAAAAACATATGCTATGTACATACAGATAAGGATAAAATATCAGATGAAATTTTCTTTCTAGCTGAAGCTTAGCTTTAAAAAAATTAGAAAACCTACATATAACATGGGTATTTCTGCAATGGACATCAGAAACTTTCTGCCTAAGAAAACTGGAGGTGATTCTCCCTCCAACATAAAATACACAAAGGACTTAACAAGTTACTGAATATAAACAAAAAAGGAAAATAAATGAGTGAGTCAGTTATAGAAGGAACACAGATGTTACCTTATTATAAGTATTTTATGTCTCCAAAACTTAACCAAAAGCTTCATAGAACATAAATATGCTGCAAGACCAATTTATTATTATTGCAATTTTTAAAACCTAATTATCGTATAACTCTATTTTTAGAATTTTAACAAGTATTAGAAACTTTCCAGAGACTACGTGGTAAAGAGTTTCTTACACAGATTTTTCAGGTCAATTTAAAGGCATGACTTATTCAAGAGTATAAACTTTATAAATTACTAAAAGTTTATAAATATTAATGTTCTTAAGGCAAAAATCTATAGAAGACATTTGGAAATTATATTTCTTTTTTTTTAAAGGATAAAATTATTATTCAATTTATTATTCCCTATATACAAAAAACTAGTTTGGTAAAACATTAAAAGCTTTCACTTTTAGACTGAGAATGATTCATAGCTCCCCATAATTCCCACTTCTAGTTAACACTGTACTGGAGATCTTAGCAAGTACAATAATGCAAGAAAAATAAATACAAGGTATAAGAATTCAGAAAGGAAGAAATATTGTTCTTATGATGAGCAATTTTTTTTCATTATTAGTAATCAGTTTAATACACATCGGTGAATACATGTCAATCCCAATCTCCCAATTCATCACACCACCACCCCCACTACCCCTGACGCTTTCCCCCTTTGCTGTCCATACGTTTGTTGTCTACATCTGTGTCTCAATTTCTGCCCTGCAAACCGGTTCATCTGTACCATTTTTCTAGGTTCCACACATATGCGTTAATATATGATATTCGTTTTTCTCTTTCTGACTTACTTCACTCTGTATGACAGTCTCTCTCTCTCTTACTTACTTACTTACTTACTCTTACTCTTACTCTCTTACTTACTTACTTACTTACTCTCTCTCTCTCTCTTACTTCACTCTGTATGACAGATCCATGTTGAGACATGGACCATCCATGTCTCAACAAATGACCCAATTTCGTTCCCTTTTATGGCTGAGTAATATTCCATTATATATATGTACCACATTTCCTTATTCATTCGTCTATCGATGGGCATTTAGGTTGCTTCCATGACCTGGCTATTGTAAATAGTGCTGCAATGCACATTGGCGTGCATGTGTCTTTTGGAATTATGGTTTGCTCTGAGTATATGCCAGTAGTGGGATTGCTGGGTCATATGGTAATTCTATTTTTAGTTTTTTAAGGAACCTCCATACTGTTCTCCATGGTGGCTGTATCAATTTACATTCCCACCAACAGTGCAAGAGGGCTCCCTTTTCTCCACACCCTCTCCAGCATTGGTTGTTTGTAGATTTTCTGATGATGCCCATTCGAACTGGTGTGAGGTGATACCTCATTGCAGTTTTGATTTGCATTTCTCCAATGATTAGTGATGTTGAGCAGCTTTTCATGTGCTTCTTGGCCATCTGTATGTCTATTTTGGAGAAATGTCTACTTAGATCTTCTGCCTATTTTTGGATTGGGTTGATTTTTTTTAATATTGAGCTGCATGAGCTGTTTATATGTTTTGGAGATTAATCCTTTCTCCGTTGATTCGTTTGCAAGTATTTTCTCCCATTCTGAGGGTTGTCTTTTTGTCTTGTTTATGGTTTCCTTTGCTGGGCAACAGCTTTGAAGTTTCATTAGGTCCCATTTGTTTATTTTTGTTTTTATTTCCATGACTCTAGGAGGCTGATCAAAAAGATCTTGCTGTGATTTACATCAAAGAGTGTTCTTCCTATGTTTTCCTCTAAGACTTTTACAGTGTCCGGTCTTACATTTAGGTCTCGAATCCATTTTGAGTTTATTTTGGTGTATGGTGTTAGGGAGTGCTCTAATTTCATTCTTTTACATGTAGCTGTCCAGTTTTCCCAACACCACTTTTTGAAGAGACTGTCTTTTCTCCATTGTATATCCTTGCCTCCTTTGTCATAGATTAGTTGACCATAGGTGCATGTGTTTATCTCTGGGCTTTCTATCTTGTACCATTGATCTACATTTCTGTTTTTCTGCCAGTACCATATTGTCTTGATTACTGTAGCTTTGTAGTATAGTCTGAAGTCAGGGAGTCTGATTCCTCCAGCTCCATTTTTTTCCCTCAAGACTGCTTTGGCTATTCAGGGTCTTTGATGTCTCCATACAAAATTTTTTTTTTCCCCATACAAATTTTAAGATTTTTTGTTCTAATTCTGTAAAAAAATGCCATTGGTAATTTAATACGGATTGCACTGAATCTGTAGATTGCTTTGGGTAGTACAGTCATTTTCACAATATTGATTCTTTAAATCCAAGAACATGATATATCTCTCCATCTGTTGGTATCATCTTTAATTTCTTTCATCAGTGTCTTATAGTTTTCTGCAAACAAGCCTTTGTCTATTTTGTCTCCCTAGGTAGGTTTCTTCCTAAGTATTTTACTCTTTTTGTTGCAATGGTAAATGGGAGTGTTCCCTTAATTTCTCTTTCAGATTTTTCATCATTAGTGTATAGGAACGCAAGAGATTTCTGTGCATTAATTTTGTATCCTGCAATTTTACCAAATTCATTGATTAGCTCTTGTAGTTTTCTGGTGGCATCTTTAGGATTCTCTGTGTATAGTATCATGTCATCTGCAAGGAGTGACAGTTTTACTTCTTCTTTTCCAATTTGTATTCCTTGTATTTCTTTTTCTTCTCTGATTGCCGTGGCTAGGACTTCCAAAACTATGTTGAATAATAGTGGTGAGAGTGGACACCCTTGTCTTGTTCCTGATCTTAGAGGAAATGCTTTCAGTTTTTCACCATTGAGAATGGTGTTTGCCATGGGTTTGTCATATATGGCCTTTATTATGTTGAGGTACGTTCCCTCTATGCCCACTTTCTGGAGAGCTTTTATCATAAATGGGTATTGAATTTTGTCAAAAGCTTTTTCTGCATCTATTGAGATGATCATATGGTTTTTATTCTTCAATTTGTTAATATGGTGTGTCACATTGATTGATTTGCGTATATTGAAGAATCCTTGCATCCCTGGGATAAATCCCACTTGATCACGGTGTATGATCCTTTTAATGTGTTGTTGGATTCTGTTTGCTAGTATTTTGTTGAGGATATTTGTATCTATATTCATCAGTGATATTGGGCTGTAATTTTCTTTTTGGTAATATCTTTGTCTGGTTTTGGTATCAGGGTGATGGTGACCTCATTTTGGGAGTGTTCCTTCCTCTGCAATTTTTTGGAAGAGTTTGAGAAGGATGGGTGTTAGCTCTTCTCTAAATGTTTGATAGAATTCACCTGTGAAGCAATCTGGTCCTGGACTTTTGTTTTTTGGAAGATTTTTAATCACAGTTTCAATTACATTACTTGTGATTGGTCTGTTCATATTTTCTATTTCTTCCTGGTTCAGTCTTGGAAGGTTATACCTTTCTAAGAATTTGTCCATTTCTTCCAGGTTGTCCATTATATCGACATACAGTTGCTTGTAGTAGTCTCTTAGGATGCTTTGTATTTCTGCAGTGTCTGTTGTAACTTCTCCTTTTCCATTTCTAATTTTATTGATTTGAGTCCTCTCCCTCTTTTTCTTGATGAGTCTGGCTAATGGTTTATTAATTTTGTTTATCTTCTCAAAGAACCAGCTTTTAGTTTTATTGATCTTTGCTATTGTTTTGTTTCTATTTCATTTATTTCTGCTCTGATCTTTATGATTTCTTTCCTTCTGCTAACGTTGCATTTTGTTTGTTCTTCTTTCTCTAGTTCCTTTAGGTGTAAGGTTAGATTCTTTATTTGAGATTTTTCTTGTTTCTTCAGGTAGGCTTGTATAGCTATAAACTTCCCTCTTAGAACTGCTTTTGTTGCATCTCATAGGTTTTGGATCATCGTGTTTTCATTGTCCTTTGTCTCTAGGTATTTTCTGATTTCCTCTTTGATTTCTTCAGTGATCTCTTGGTTATTTAGTAACGTATTGTTTAGCCTCCACATGTTTGTGTTTTTGCATTTTTTTCCTTGTAATTGATCTCTAATCTCATAGTGTTGTGGTCAGAAAAGATGCTTGCTATGATTTCAATTTTCATAAATTTACTGAGGCTGGATTTGTGACCCAAGATGTGATCTATCCTGGAGAATGTTCCGTGTGCACTTGAGAAGAAAGTGTAATCTGCTGTTTCTGGATGGAATGTCCTATAAATATCAATTAAACCTTTCTGGTCTATTTTGCCATTTAAAGCTTCTATTTCCTTATTTATTTTCATTTTGGATGATCTGTCCATTGGTGTAAGTGAGGTGTTAAAGTCCCCCACTATTATTGTGTTACTGTCGATTTCCTCTTTTAGAGCTGTTAGTAGTTGCCTTATGTATTGAGGTGCTCTTATGTTGGGTGCATATTTATTTATAATTGTTGTATCTTCTTCTTGGATTGATCCCTTGACCATTATGTGGTGTCCTTCCTTGTCTCTTGTAACATTCTTTATTTTAAAGTCTATTTTATCTGATATGAGTATTGCTATTCTAGCTTTCTTTTGATTTCCATTTGCATGGAATATCCTTTTCCATCCCCTCACTTTCAGTCTGTATGTGTCCCTAGGTCTGATGTGGGTCTCTTGTAGACAGCATATATATGGGTCTTCGTTTTGTATCTATTCAGTGAGCCTGTGTATTTTGGTTGGAGCATTTAATCCATTCATGTTTAAGGTAATTATCGGTATGTATGTTCCTATTACCATTTTCTTAATTGTTTTGCGTTTGTTTTTGTAGGTCCTTTTCTTCTCTTGTGTTTCCCACTTAGAGAAGTTCCTTTAGCGTTTGTTGTACAGCTGTTTTGGTGGTGCTGAGTTCTCTTAGCTATTGCTTTTCTGTAAAGCTTTTGATTTCTCCATCGAATCTGAATGAGATCCTTGCTGGGTAGAGTAATATTGGTTGTAGGTTCTTCCCTTTCATCACTTAATCATGCCACTCCCTTCTGGCTTGTAGAGTTTCTGCTAAGAAAACAGCTGTTAACCTTATGGGAGTTCCCTTGTATGTTATTTGTCGTTTTTCCCTTGCTACTTTCAATAATTTTTCTTTGTCTTTAATTTTTGTCAGTTTGATTACTATGTGTCTCAGCATGTATGGGACTCTCTGCACTTCGTGGACTTAGGTGGCTATTTCCTTTCCCATGTTATGGAAGTTTTCGATTATAATCTCTTCAAATATTTTCTCTGGTCCTTTCTCTCTCTCTTCTCCTTCTGGGACCCCTATAATGCGAATGTTGTTGCATTTAATGTTGTCCCAGAGGTCTCTCAGGCTGTCTTCATTTCTTTTCATTCTTTTTTCTTTATTCTGTTCCACAGCGGTGAATTCCACCTTTCTGTCTTCCAGGTCACTTATCCGTTCTCCTGCCTCAGTTATTCTGCTACTGATTCCTTCTAGTGTAGTTTTCATTTCAGTTATTGTATTGTTCATCTCTGTTTATTTGTTCTTTAATTCTTCTAAGTCTTTGTTAAACATTTCTTGCATCTTCTCAATCTTTACCTCCATTCTTTTTCCAAGGTCCTGGATCATCTTCACTATCATTATTCTGAATTCTTTTTCTGGAAGGTTGCCTATCTCCACTCCATTTAGTTGTTTTTCTGGGGTTTTATCTTGTTTCTTCATCTGGTTCATAGTCCTCTGCCTTTTCATTTTGTCTATCTTTCTGTAAATGTGGTTTTTGTTCCACAGGCTGCAGGATTGTAGTTCTTCTTGCTTCTGCTGTCTGCCCTCTGGTGGATGAGGCTATCTAAGAGGCTTGTGCAAGTTTCCTGATGGGAGGGACTGGTGGTGGGTAGAGCTGACCTTTGCTCTGGTGGGCAGAGCTCAGTAAAACTTTAATCCATTTGACTGCTGATGGGTGGGGCTGGGTACCCTCCATGTTGGTTGTTTGGCCTGAGGCAACCGAACACTGGAGCCTACCTGGGCTCTTTGGTGGGGCTAATGGCAGACTCTGGGAGGGCTCACACCAAGGAGTACTTCCCAGAACTTCCGCTGCCAGTGTCCTTGTCCCCACAGTGAGACACAGCCACTGCCTGCCTCTGCCAGAGACCCTCCAACCCTAGCAGGTAGGTCTGATTCAGTCTCCTATGGGGTCACTGCTCCTTCCCCTGGGTCCCAATGAGCACACTACTTTGTGTGTACCCTCCAAGAGTGGAGTCTGTTTCCCCCAGTCCTGTCGAAGTCCTGCAATCAAATCCCACTAGCCTTCAAAGTTTGATTCTCTAGGAATTCCTCCTCCTGTTGCCAGACTCCGAGGTTGGGAAGGCTGACGTGGGGCTCAGAACCTTTACGCCAGTGGGTGGACTTCTGTGGTATAAGGGTTCTCCAGTCTGTGAGTCACCCACCCAGCAGTTATGGGATTTGATTTTACTGTGACTGCGCCCCTCCTACCGTCTCATTGTGGCTTCTCCTTTGTCTTTGGATGTGGGGTATCTTTTTTGGTGAGTTCCAGTGTCTTCCTGTCAATGATTGTCCTGCAGCTAGTTGTGATTCTGGTGTTCTCGCAAGCAGAAATTATATTTCTAATTGCAGTTAAAATATACCTGCAGAATTATTTTGGGTAATACTAACTGGGTAACATTAATAGTAATATAATGTGAAGTTAGTATTTTAACTTGACAAATTAAATAAACTAGTTTGGGTTTCAACAATGTGTGGGGGAGAAGATAAAAAGTAAATATCTAATAAACATGCTAAGTATATCATAACACTAAAAACTGAATTCTAACTGCATGTATATTGTATGAAGCATGTGACACAGATAATGCACTGCATCAGGACCAAAAGTTTCATCAGTAGGATATGCCAGAAATTTTACAGATAAACACGAGCATTTTATAGTCCTTTTGAAGTCCTTTTGAAGTCCTTTTGAAGTCCATTCACTGCATACAGACCTAAGCAATATCATGGACAGTTGCTTTGAATTCCTAATCTATGAAACTGAAAAGTTAAGAAATTCTCATTAACAAGTCAGTAAATATAGTGGGCCTCAGAAAATGTATGATACATTAAAGCACTTTTGCTATATAATCACAGTAATAATTTGAAGTTTATATTACATTTTTAGGCCAAGAGGCCCACAACTCCTGGTTTTACAAGCATTCTTTGAGATAAATAAATGTCATTTCACACAGAGAAAAAAATACACAAGCAGTGACCTGCACAACATTTATATAAACATCTGTTTGTTTCAGTTTCAACAAAGGAATTTGTATTAACCACCAGTTCTGATTATGTGTACCAACCTTAAAATGCAAAAGAAAGCCATAAACAAGGCCCCATTAGCAGTCAGAAATGAAGCAGATTGTAGGATCTCAGGGAGCAGTTTGTGTAAATAATAATCTAATTTTCGTTTCCGGAGAATTGCTGCAATCTGGAAGAAAAGAATTAAAAAAGGCTCTTTTGTTTAATATAACCAACTTTTCCCACTTAAGTTAGTTCTTATGTGGAAGATATTGAAATAACAGCATGTATTTAAAAATTAAAGTAAAAACTCTAGTATTTTACTGGCTCCTCTATGAAAATTCAATTTCTGGGACAGAAGACACTTTAATTTATTGAAAGTGTAATGGGTAAAATAAACACCTAGAAATTACAACATGGATCATATGATAAATAACCTCCAAACATTGAGATAAATATTTATAACGCCTTAAAAAGTTTTAAACTGGGGCTTCCCTGGTGGCACAGTGGTTAAGAATCTGCCTGCCAATGCAGGGTACACGGGTTCGAGCCCTGGTCCGGGAAGATTCCACATGCCGCGGAGCAACTAAGCCCGTGCACCACAACTACTGAGCCTGCACTCTAGAGCCCGTGAGCCACAACTACTGAGCCCATTTGCCACAACTACTGAAGCCCATGTGCCACAACTACTGAGGCCCACGTGCCTGGAGCCCATGCTCCGCAACAAGAGAAGCCACCACAGTGCGAAGCCCGCACATGGCAAGGAAGAGTAGCCCCCACTCGCAGCAACTAGACAAAGCCCACGCGCAGCAACAAAGACGCAACGCAGCCAAAAATAAATAAATAAAATTTTTTCAAAAAGTTTTATACTGATAAATAAAATATATGTTTAAATGGAAAAACTAAAGTCCAATCAAACAGAAATTGAATGCTAAAACAAAACTACATTACAGATACTATCAGCCTGGATATTAGAAAATTTCAATGATAAAAACCAGAGAAATTCATTCATTCAGTTTCACTGAGAAGGGGATATGAGCTAGATTAGGAAGAACAGTATAATTCTCACAGGTGACCAGGAAGAAATGCTTTTCTATCATGATGAAACAATATATCAAAGGAACAAAAGTTAAGGGGGCAGAATTAGGGAATGTAAGAAATGGCAAGACTGACTTGAGAAAAGGAAGACCAGAGAACTCTGCATTCACTTTTCACCATTCTAGACATAACAGCTTCCCTATGGTCAGGGATCAACAAATCTAATGGCCTCTTCTCAGTTCTTTTCTTACTCTACCACTTAGAAGCCTCTGATAATTTCCTACTTCATTCAATTAAACAAGCTGTTATTAAGAACTATGCCATACACAGGAAAAACAACAATGAATAAGATCTAATCCCTGCCTTCAAGGAACATAAAAACTTGATAGGGAAATAGATATATAAACAATAAACTACAATAAGGCAGTGCGGTAAATGCTATACTAGAAGAAGGAGAAACTGCTACAGAAATACATATTAGGGAATAACCAAAAAGGAGATGGGACTGGACAGGTAATAATGCCCAGAAGATGGATCTCGACAAATAGGTAAAACTTTGACAAAAGAGAAGTTTCTATGGTTTCTGTGACTTCATTGTTTTCATTCTCCCATGATATCTTTAAGTGCTATTCCTTTGTTAGCATTTCTTCCTCAGATCTCTACTCATTCTATATACAACCTCCCCCACAGCATCATCTATCATGTCAAAGTAGGAATTCCAATATAACCGCTTCTATTTTTTTTTTTTTCATATTTGGCTGCATTGGGTCTTCGTTGTTGCACACAGGCTTTCGCTAGTTGCAGCGAGCGGGGGCTACTCTTTGTGTGGTACGCAGGCTTCTCATTGCGGTGACTTCTCGTTGCGGAGCACAGGCTCTACGTGCACAGCCTTCAGTAGTTGCAGCACGTGGGCTCAGCAGTTGCGGCACGTGGGCCCTAGAGTACACAGGCTTCAGTAGTTGTGGGCTCAGTAGTTGTTGCTCACGGGCTCTAGAGCACAGGCTCAGTAGCTGTGGCACACAGGCTTAGCTGCTCCAGGCATGTGGCATCTTCCCAGGCCAGGGATCAAACCCATATCCCCTGGATTGGCAGGCAGATTCTTAACCACTGCACCACCAGGGAAGTCCCTCCCCTAAATTCTTAATGCATACTTCAAATGTCTATTGGACATGTCAATAAAGACATAGCACAGACATCAAAAAAAAAAGAATGCCCAAAGTAGAACTTATTATACTTCCCCAAAATGCTTTTATTTCTGATTTTCTAACCTCAAGTAATAGTACCACATCCACCCTATTACTTAGAAACAAAATGTTGGTGTCATTTTCAATTACTCCCTGGATCCTCAATCATCTCCTCAGTTCTAATGGTCTCCTAGTATCTTCAGGTTTTAGAATGTAATGTCTCTTTCATTTTAGACTCAACAATGGGCAGAATATGGTACTCTGTTATATATTCAAGTAGTTACAGAAAAAAAATCTCCTCTGTTCCTGGAAAGGAAAAAACAAAACTGTCCCTATTTGCAGATAACCTGATTGTCTACACAGAAATTCCCAAGCAAGTTACATACAGACACACACACACCTCCTAGAACTCATAATGCAGTTTAGCAAAGGCAAAGGATATAAGATAAACATACAAAAGTTATTTGTATTTCTATATTAAAAAAATGAATACATGGACACCAAAATTAAAAATACAATAGAATTTATAACTCCTCAAAAAACGAAATATTTAGGGAAAAATCTACAACACTTGTATATGACTTGTATACTGAAAGACACACAATGCTGATGGAAGAAATCAAAGAACAGATTAATAAATGTTCATAGATAGGAAGACTCAATATGGTAAAGATGTCAATTTTCCCCCAAAGCAAAATACAGGTTTAACACAATTTCTATTACGATTCCAGAAAAGGTTTTATAGATGTAGACAAGATTATACTGAAATTTATATAGAAAAGCAAAGGAACTATAAGAGCGAAAACAACTTTGAAAAAGTGAAAAAAATGGGAGGAATGAGTCTACCCAATTTCAAGACTTATTATATAGCTACAGCAATCAGGTTTTGTGATATTGGCAAAAGGATAGACAAATAGATTAATGAAATAGAATAGAGAACCTAGATATAGATCCACACAAATATATCCAACTGATTTTTGACAAGGTACAATGGCAATTCCATAGAGGAAAAATAGCTATTTCAACAAATGGTGCTGGAGCAAATACATATCCACAGGCAAAAAAAAAAAAAAATTAACCTCAGCCAAAGTCTCACAGTTTATACACACTTTATACAAAAATTAATTCAAAATGTATCAGAGACATAAAACTACAAAACTTTTAGGGGAAAAAAAATCAGGGAAAATCTTAGGGATCTAAGGCTAGGCAAAAGCACAATTCATAAAAGGAAAAATTATAAATTACACTTCAGAATTAAAACTTTTTCTCTGTGAAAGACCTGTTAGGAATAAAAATCCTAGCTACAGAATGGGAGAAAATACTTGTAAACTACACAGCCAGCAAACGACTAGTATCTAGAATGAAGGAAATCTCAAAACTCAACGGTAAAAAAATGAACAATCCAATTAGAAAATACAAATGATATGAACAGATATTTCACCGAAGAGAATGTGCAAATGGAAGATAAGCATATTAGCCATTAAGGAAAAGCAAATTAAAACCACAATGAGCTATCACCATAGAACTGTCAGAATGATTAAATTTAAAAATACTGGAAACACCAAATGCTGACAAGGATACGGAGAAACTGGATCTCTCATGCATTTGTTGGGGGAAATGTGAAATGGCAAAAGCATCCTGAAAAAGTTTGACAGTTTCTATAAAAACTAAACAAGCAACTATCATATGACCCAGCAATTGCAGTCCCGAATGTTTATCCTAGAAAAATGAAAACGTACGTTCACCCAAAATTTGTGCACAAATGTTTATAGCAGCTTTGTTTGTAATAGTCAATAAATGGAAACAACTCCTATGTCCTTTAAGAGATGAATGGTTTAAAAAACCGAGGTGTATCCATACCATGGAATACCATTTAGCAATAAACAGGAACAAGCTAGTGATACATGATACAATACTGATGAATTTCCAGAGAATTATGCTGAATGGAAAAAGCCAATCCCAAAAGACTACATACTATACTATTCCATTTACATAACACATAAAATGACAAATTTATAGAAATAAAGAATAAATTAATGGTGACCAGGGGTTAAGAGGAGGTGGGTAGGTGGGAGCGGTGGTATTGCTATAAAAGGGCACAAGGGATCCTTGTGTTGATGGAAATGTCCTGTATATTGACTATATCAATGGCAATTATTTTGGTTGTGATATTTTACTATCATTTAGCAGGATGATACCACTGGGAGAAACCAGATAAAGAGCACAGGGAATCTATTATTTCTTACAACTGCATAAGAATCTACAATTATCTCAAAATTAAAAGTTCAATTAAAAAAAAAAAGCAGTCATCAACATAGCCAATGGGCATATGAAATATGCTTAGCATCACTAGTATTCAGAAAACTGTGCAATAAAATATCACTCACACACACACCAGAATGTCTAAAACAAGGAGAAATGACAATGCAAAGCACTGTCAGGAATGAAGTAACTAGAACTTCACACATTGCTGGTGGGAATGTAAAACTGCATACTTACTTCAGAAAACTGTTATTATCTAATGAAACTAAATGTACACTTATCCTACGATCCAGCAGTTTCACTCCTAGGTATATATCCAAGAGAAATAACTGCTTATTTCCATCAAACATCATGTTCATAACACTATCTGTAATTACAAATACTGCAAAACACCTAGATGTCCATTAACAGTAAGGTAGATAAATTGTACATATTTGCAATATTGGTAAATCATACTGTACAGTCTACTGTAAGAAACAGGGAAAATCTGACACAACACATGGGAAGTAACCTAAGACCTTATTAACACTGTGCTGTAACCCAGAGCTTCCAACCAGGGTTTACAAGTGGCCAAAAGATTGATCCTCTCCACAGTCTGGGTAGCCAGGCGAGGACTAGGGTAACAGAGCAAGGTGATAATCATCTCTGTTTTCCCTAGAGTGCCACACAATTATTATCATTTTCTATGTACATCACAGCAGGCTAT